TGCAAAAACGCATAATAAAACTGCATTTTATTAAACGACCAGAATAATGATCAGCAGCATATCAGTGGCTCTCTTTCTCTTATCAGTACCTTGTTTACCGTGCGATTCTGTCGAATGGCGACTGCTCGAGTTCATCACATTACGGCCTCCAATTCGGCCCTTTTATCAGAGAGCTGAAAATGCTCTTCAAATTAGCGTTGTTTTTACTGATAGCGCAATTCTGGAAATAATCTAAGTTTCGCTGCCATTTTCCTGCTTGCAAAAGCCCCGCGTATATGAACTGCGCTCATTGGACTTGCTTTTTTTTTTCCGAAAAATGAGCCTCTCAAATGTTATTTTGAAGTACCCTTTTTTGTGTCTTTTGGAGAAAAATGTAGGTCCTACTTGTGGCTTATGAGTGACAGCATTCAAAACGAAATAATGATGCTCAGCATACACACATGCACACACACACAAACACACACACATGCACATACAAACACATGTACACACAGATGCACACACACACACACACACACACACACACACACATATACACACATACACACAAACACATGCATACACACACATACCAGTGACATCCGGAACTGCTTAAGCCTTGCCAAATGCTGTGTCTGGAGAATTTATTCAGCTAACAATCCTTTCATGAGACGAAGCGGAAGAGGATCGTCAGTAACTGACCACTATTATTTAATACAACACTGATCAAAGTGACTGGAAAATTTGTCAATTATATGATTTGGAAAGCAGTGCTGTAAATTACATCTCATTATTTTCGTTTTCTGGACTGTTAGATCTTTACATGAATATGCCAATTTTAACAGACTTTTAACAGATTTATCCCACCCTTCGTTTTAACTTTCTGACTCCGGCCATTCCACATTTTGATTTCTTTGGATCACCCACTTATTTTAACATTACGATTCGGCCTTCTAACGGCCGTAATTTATCATTATTATTTGTACGAAAAGAGGCAAAGCTGAAGGGGAGGCAGTAGAATTTCCCATACAGTAATAGCAAGAAATATAATAATTAGCCAGAAGTATAGTTTGTTGCCCTCTTCACATTCAAAATATGAATTATTCGTGTGTTTTTCGTAACCCACCCACGCATTTTTCATCAAATATGAATTCTGTACATGTATATACATACATACATATATATATACATATATATATTTGTTAAATTGCCAGCAATCTATTATTTTATATAAAGTGCCAGCAATTTACTCAGTAAATTGCAGCAATACATGTAAAATACATACACTATTGGCAATACATATAGGTGGATTATAGGAAATAAACAGACATATATATATGTGTAAGAGAAATTTTGTCTTCCCCGAAGCACTCGCATGTTTTGGAGTGGGGAGCATTATGGATAATAGTTGATGACAGATTAAATTCTCGTTTTTATTATAGTCAGACGATAATGCAGTATTTTCGCTACTACAAATTGTACCGCTTTCCACGAGCTGGGTAGAAATCCAGATGGAAGGGCTGGAAGGAAATCCGGTTAGCGGCATTAGGGAGATAAATCCAAGCACAGTTCTGCAATCGACAACATTCGATGAGAACAAATTTTTCGCTCAGCCACGAGCAGTCAGCAGGCTAGATGATCGTACTGCTCGTTTATGTTGTGCTTCCTAGATTCGTTGGTATCCTGAAAACCGATCGGAATAGCTCATGCGACTACAGCCTCTGGACGTTTTCGTAGTACCCTTCTTCAATATAGTAAGTGATCAGCGCATGCAGAAGTAGGCCGATTCAGAATATTTAAGTGCGAGGATGCCTGATGGATGCTTCCGACACTCATTTCGTCGCCTGAACGAATTATCATTTCAGTGGTCAATGTCAGTGTTTCTACTGCATCATAGGCGGATCAAGGAGGGGGAGAGGGGGGGCGACGGGTCTTTTGCTTCACCCCTCCCCTCCCCTTCCCCGCGAATGGCAAAAGGCCGGGTCTAAAGCTAAAACTGAAGAGAAATCTCTTCCCCCCCCCCCCTCTTCCTTCCCCAAGAATTCGTCCTAGACTCCAGCACTTAGCAATGTCATCCCTTACAACCTGAAATCATTGCTTGAGTACGCCTGGATTTCACGAACGAATGCTGAGAAAAATATGCAAATTTCGTGGCGTGGAAACGATTTTGGGAACCAGATAAAGCACCAGAAATTAGTAGGATGCTACCGCACGTCAGGGACATCTGATGTGATCAAAGCATTTCTCTACTTTGAAATTCTTTACTTTTTTTACCTCATTAAGTGTGGATTATCTTTTTTTTGATCTTTTTTTTTACCCATGTGGAAATAACCCACTACTCGGACGACTTCCACAGAGGTAGCGCACTTATATTAAACAGACAATAGGTACTCTAACTGTAGCTGTGTAACCCAGGATTGAGGGACTTGGCATAGATGTCCCTGACGTGCGGTAACATCCTACTGCCACTGGTGCCTTATCTGGTTCCTGAAATCGTTTCCCAGCCACGAAATTTGCACATTTTTTCCAGCATTCGTTCGTGAGATCCATGCGTACTCAAGCAACGATTTCAGGTTCTAAGGGATGACACTGCTCAGTGCTGGGAGTACGTTCTCAAATTTTATCTCGTTGGTTCTCACCTATACGAATTAATTTTTTTGCCAGGGCATTGGAAAATGAGTGCAAAATTTGGGAAAAAAAATGAGCTCGATTATCGGGCAGAAAAGCTCGCTGATTTTCCCAAGCGTGTTTTAGTGCGAACAGTGGCGGCCAAAAACCATTTCGCTGTGCAATGAATTATGTAAATATTGGCATTCCATAAATACTGGCAATTCTAAACTTTTGAAAACAGATTGGTTTGTTTGCTCCATAAAAGTGGGGCTTCCGAAAACAGATTGCTCTGTTTGCTTTGCGCATGGGAATAGTGCATTTGTCGGTTCATTTAGATGCAATTTTGCGCTTGAAAGGGCAAGCTTCCTCTTTTGGACTTCAGAAATGAAACTCCCTCTGGGGAAATTTTTTTTACTTATGGAAGAAAAGTTTCTCTATTGAAGAGATTTTTCGATTCTGGAAGAGGATCTCCCCTTCTGAAGATTTCTTGAACTTCAGAAGTTCTCTTCTCCTGCTCGGAGAGAGTTTTTGAGCTCCACCACTTTTCGGGATTTCTTACTTTGGAAGAGAATCTCCTCTTTTAAAGAATTTTTGAACTTAAGAATTCCCTGCCCTCGACCAGGAAGAACTCTTGAGCTCCAGAAGGCGATGTTCTGAAATTTATAGTGGCCCCCTTAAAAAAATTACTGCAATTCAATGTACATCACGAAAATACGTTTTCCTATACCTGTAAAGTGCTCTGTGCGGCCTTTTTTTCATCCAAGAAACATCATTTGTATTTGCCTACCTAACTTTGGATTTTTCAGTTTCTAAATTTTCGATTCATTTAATTTCATTTTGAAGGACTCTGGCGGGAAGGCGGGGGGGGGAGCGGGAAGAAGGGAACACAGAGATTGTCGAGGGCCCGGCTCTGCAGATGAGAGAAGCAATCCCTCTGCGATTCGTTCATTTATTTCGATGATAAATTGGTATACTGACATGTGTCAGGAAGTCAAACCCGCCATTAGCTTGCTTCTAGGCAGTTCCTGGAAAAAAGAATCATCAATAGTTTCTGTGAGCGTTTGGTTGCTGAATTCGATTTCCCGAGCATTTCTAATTCATATGTCTGCTCAGGATTCATCCCGTGGAAATGTACTTGTATTGTGCAGGAGCAGCAGTGCACTCGTCGAATGACGAAACAAAGTGTTTTTCATCACGGAATCTTCTCCTTCACATTTCACTGCACATATAAGACGGAGACACGCCGGTAACTGGTGATGGTTGTTGTTCCGGAATCGTCGGTGAATTCTTCCGTGAAAGATTCATACTATTCATACAGAGACGCGAATGCGCAGTGCTTCGATGAGTCGGCTTCGGTTTCAAGCAGTGCAGGAAGCAGTACGAGCAAAAACTGCATCGTTTCGGTGCTGGATGCACCACCGGGACCTTTCTCGGCCCTGGATATCTCACCAGGTAAAGCAGTAAAATCTAACTCGCAGCGTAAAGACAGTCAAAAAAGTCAAAAGTCAAAACTCCCTCCGTTTTCGTTCTGTATGAAAGGCACAATGTGACATTCGGGAAGTAGCTCGAATGGTAGCAAATTCCAGTAGCAGCAACCTCATTAGAACAGAAAAAAAGAGCAAAACATGGCGAAATAGGGCGCTGTACGGATGGTTCCCATCCCATTCCGCACCGATTCTGCCGTTTGTGTTTACAGCTCAGGGATGAAACACAGATAGGCTACACTGTACAAACAGGCTTGCCTATTTGGGAGACCTACATGGCACTTCCAGTGTTTTCATTAATTATCAAAATTCGATTGTGTTCCTCTCCACAGTGGACCAACAGCGCCAAACAAACTGCATATGTTAACAAATAGACGATTCCAGGCCCCGTCCTCTTCCAATCTCTTAGCCAGGGATATTCATTGTTTGTATCTTTAAAATTTCTACAACATTTATCAAGGGAAGAAGTGAAATAAAAAAGCAGCTGTATTTTGGGCACCTACATAATTCCATATAGCCGTTCAAACGGATAGCAGCTGTATTTTGGGCATCTACATAATTCCATATAGCCGTTTCACACATCTAGGGCTAACACCCCTCTTTTTCTTGTAGATGGAAAGATTGTATGCTATGACGAGAAACTGAATCGCATTGTGCAAATCGATTTTCGCACCGAAGACAGGATTTTTCATGTGATACCCAGCTGCCTGAATTTCGAGCGCTTCTACTGGTCACATATTGTTGCCGTACAGAAGTTAGTGTTTTTTTTTTTTTTTGAGGAAAAAATTCGGGAATTTTTTTGGGGGAGAAATCCGTACTTCTTGATGACCTGTAGTTCCTTGGTGACCTCAGTTAGGCAAGTTCTCTTATTCTGATTACATCAGTTAGGCAAATTTCGTCTCTGCTGCTTCCACATTTTGATGTCTTCGTCACAGTTTCCAGTCCTATGGCGGCTGAAAGACAACAGATGGACAAAACGGATCATTGAATACCCCATTCATACAATATTGAATGATAATTAATATGGCGCAGGAGCCCACTTTTAGAGCCATTATATGGAATTTTGGAGATAAGCAAAGCTCAAAATGGAGAAGAATAGAGAATTTGCCAGGCGCATCAATGGCGAGAAGAAATGCGATGATTATTGGATATCATGGCTTTTTATAGTTTGTAAAGGACATGTTTTGTAGCGCAAAATGATTCGGTTGAAAATCGAATTGCGGACGATTTTTTATACGCTTTGGCCCTGTTTTTGCAAATTTCACCCTCGAGCAGTAAAAAACGGAATTATTTCAGCACAGTGTTGCTCGCACTGTTGAAAAGCCATCGAAGTTGTGCATTTTATCTGGTCTCTTTTTTGCTGCAACCTGACAGACCTGATGCACTGGAGGTGCAGCGAATTCGAACCAAAATTTTCACGGATGGCTACGAGGTAAACTTTCGATTGCGGCGTTTATCAGGTTTCTGGGCTTATCAGGTCTCGTAATTTTTTAGGTTTGCTGCCAAAAAGTGGATGATTCTGTCTATTTCGGATTTTGCAATCGGCGCAAGTGTACCAAAGGATTGAGGACGAGGAAGGCTCACTCAGATACGCAACTGCTACGTGAGCAGATCAGCTGGGAAAGTCGTGCTTCTTCGACCGATGATTCTGGCAACGGTAACGTAAAAGTTGAAATCGCCTCGGAACTTACTCTTTATGAGGTACTGGCAGTGGTACTCGGAATTAGCCCCAGTGATAGTACCCGCTGGTGAGGTTGTCGATGACTCCCTCTTTCGAAGATAGCAGTCTTTGAAAAAACATTGAGCTGATGGCCCCTTCTAGCATATTTCAATACGAATTTACCGTGAATGAATCGTATTAGGATTCGAACCCTCAAGCTTCGGCATAAGCAGAGTTACTTGCCACTATGCTTTGCTTATGTCTCGAAAAGATTTTTTTTTATTGTCCCGACCAAAGTGCGGGAAAAAAACTCTGTTTTTCTTTT